GGGATTAGGAGCAGGCAAATATCACCAATAATAAACAAATGACTAACATTCATCTGTGTGCTTTCAAGCCCCCCGGGCTCCAGCTAGAGCACAACAGGGTCTGGATCCAATCCCTGCTGTTTATCAGTGCAAGTAGAAGCGCCCACTTGTCAAACCTCCATGAAAAACGTTTGGGGGACAAACCCAGAATGGGGAACAGAGCAATCCAACAAATCAGTCCTCCCAGATTTGATTTACAGCTCAGACCTCAAAGACCAGAGCCCAATATTCTGATGGAAATGGCCATTTTGTTACCACTTCATTATTCATGCTGAGACTGTTTTCTTGTCAGCCATTTTCTGTGGAATGATAATTTGATTTTGACTGACACATATCGGCTGTGACATTTTCAGCTGTGACAGAGGCAGTGTTAAGACAGCCGAGTGACTGAATAGGTTAAAATAACAATAATAAGCTTTAGGATTTAGAGCAAAGCTTAATCTAGTACTGTAACTCATTAACAATTCAATCATTTGATTTATTGATTTATTATATGTTAATAACTTTCACTTGTTCCAGTCTCTAAGATAAGATTTGTCAGCTTTTTCTGCTTTATATGTAAATTAAACTGAAACATGACTGAAACATCCTGAGTCAAACATAACAGACAATTCTGAAGTGTCACAAATTTTAATGGAAATTTTCCACTATTTGATCAACTAAAATAAATGGCAAATATACAACATAATTAGATAAATGTTGTGTCTTAGCTGTTGTTTTACATGTTCCAATTTGAATGATCATGAATTTATATGTTTTTGTCGAGAAAGTCCAATGCAGGTGGCAAATTTAAAACAAGGCCAAAGTGTCCTCATGCTCAAGGGCATAAGGGATTTTACAATGCAACAATTCAACCTGTGATGACAGCAGAGCCACACACCCGATTCACATTATTGACAAATATTGATTACTTGTCTCAGCATCACCATGGAGATTATTGCAGAAGAATGTTGGACAGATAAAGTAATGGGCCATAAATCCCCTTGGTAGTAACAGCATTGGTTAATTAGCAGTGTGATGAAACTGAGATCAAAGGTAAAGCAGTGAAAGCAGGTTGTAATTTAGCCAGTGCACTTTTCTGCAACGAGGGAATAGTGCACACTAGGAGAAAAGGCTTCTAATGGAAATGCAAACACTGCATGTTTCCTCCGTCTCCTTCCTTTTGTCCTCTGTGACATCAGATAAAAATGCTCTACTAAGTCTTAATTTAGGTGGATATTCAGAGGCCTTGATCTCACTCTGTATGTGTCTGTCTGTGTGTGTGTGTGTGTGTGTGTGTGTGTGTGTGTGTGTGTGTGCGTGCGTGCGTGTGTGCGCTAGTATGCTAAGAAGAAAAGTCTTCCCTTTGCACTAATCCACTTATTTTGTTTCGCTCTACTGTTCAAGGTGGAAAAGTGCCGAGACGGCAGCGCTTTGCCTTCTCTGTCTGTTTGGCCCACAGTGCTTTACCTGCTGAGCGCCGGGACTCACCAAGCCTGAGGAACTCTGTTGCGTTAACCCTGTCCCTAAGTATGTCCCTGGCCAGCACAAAAGCCATCTGGGGTGCAGCTGAGAGCTTTAGCAACAAAATAACTCTTTCAATCTGCACTCTGCATGGTTCTGACTGCAGGGCGTTGAGGTCGCCAATACCAAGACTTGTACCGGACCTCCTCCTCTTTCTCCTCCATCCTTCTAATCCTGGCCTACATGACTGACTCCATCTGAAAGCCCCACACGCCAGAGGTGGGAGCCAACAGCACAGTGAGATTCGAAAAAAGACCACCTGCTCATCAAACTAAATTGCACTCACTGAAGGCAATGGCGAATAGAATAGAGAGAATGAAAAGGAGGGGACAAAGAGAAAAAAACAAGTACTAATAAAAAGAAAGACATGTCACTGCTCTCCCTCTGTGATCTTGGCAGACAAAAGAACAAATTGCATTTATGCATCACGGCACCCTAGGGTCAAAAATCGCCAGAGTCCCACTCAATACTGTTTGTGTGCGAGCATGCTGATATAGGTTCCATCAGTTCCCAGAGCCAGAGAGGTGCACAGGCCTACCTTTCAGCCTTTCATCTTGGCTTCTTTTGTATTCCGCTGCACGTCCGTCTGTTGTTTCTCTCCTCTATTTGGTAGAATTGGCTGTTATTATTCCAAACAGCATTATCTTTATTAATGCCACAGGTCTCAGGACTGTGCACTCCCTGGGAGCCGGGTCTGGACAGAGCTGCAACCAATCTCCCTAGATAAAAGCTTAGTGGAGAGCTGTATGCAAGCCAGACAGCTTGGACAGGCCTTCATCCTCACTCCTCATTCTCACAGAGAGGTATGGTCCCTACAAAGACTAAGATATGGCTTTAATCTTAGCACTTTCAGACAGACAGAAACGTTTGAACTCAGAGCAGCTCTCTGGAAGGCTATCAGAAGTCACTTCGGGTTGTTAGCCACTAGTCAGAACAAACAAATTGTATTATTACCAAACACATTTATATAATCCATAATGAAAAATAAAGAGAGGAAGGTTTTTGAATCAGGTTTGTGAATCATGAAACTTTATCCCGGTGCTTCAGTTTATGGGGCTACCCTCCAGTTCTACTGTGGCTTATACTCATATGTACTTGGAGCTGAGGCCATTTCCCAAAGTCAGTCATGCGTGACGAGTTATTTTAAAGGTGGTGTGGAGAGCTGACGTGTGGCCAGGCCAGGGCAGGGCAACGGTTGGGGTCTCGGCTTAGTGCCTCAAGCCCCTCGCTCCAGTGGTCACACAGCCTCAGCTCCCGGCCCGAGTCCGGACACTGATTTATGGGACAGGGGGATTACCATCAAACCAGCCATGAGGACCACCCAGATGGTGGCACAGGATGACAGCCGCACAAACACACACACAGGCGCACACGCACGCAAATTCAGATGTACTTATACATCCACACATTGTGTACCTTCACACTAAGATGTCCACAGAAACCCACAGAAGTTGAGTAGCTGCATATTCAATCTGTAATGGCTCTGTTAACCACTCAAGTGCAGTGAGTGGGATTAGATCGATGAGGTTTCCTCATTATAACAAAGCAAGGGAGTCAGCTTTGCTCCTTAGTTATCATATGTATCTACTAGATGTTCCTGGTATATTCTGCTTAATCACATCACACTATTTTTTTTTTCACTTACGTTTCCGTAAAGAATGATTACATATGGATGATCCTTTCAAAGAGAGCCAGTAACAAAACAATGTAAAAAAAAACAATATCTGAAATGGGTGACATTCAACTTTCAACTTTTCCTCAAAGCAGGCCTGGACTCCTCTTATTTTCACTTCAAATGCATTTACCATCCTTCATACTTTTCCACCAAGTCACATTGTCATCCAAGAAAAGTGAACATGTGCAAATACACTGAGGAAAAGAGGAAAAGGGGAAGACAGGCACATATTTCTCACTTGCCGGGGCACAGCACAACTCAACCTCAAGGCACCAGTTGGATGAGCTGAACAATAAGAGTCAATGACAAATCGGACATAGTGCATTCCTTGGGCAAACACTCACCTAATAAAGGAAGACAGGTAGGCAAACACTCACCTGCCCTAAGCTAATAACGCATGTGGAGACAAACACACATACACACACACACACAGACTTGAACGTGTCAGTATGTTGAGATGATAATGGGAATTAGATTGTGCAAAACTGTATAAGTATAAAGATAGTACCAAATTTGATTCAAAATAAATAAATAAAACTAATATAGCATTTTTCCCAATGAATAAATCACTGTGCTGTGCAAACATGCAAGAGATCTGTTTCTTTGGACTCTATCAATGTGTACATAACTTTCATGCACGGTACTTGACCTATGCACTGTGTTTAGTGTGGTGCTTGCACTGCACATCAAAAATAAACCGATATAGAATATATACAGTAGCTTTTAACCATTTTCGGATAAGTTGTACATTATAAACCACATGTGGGTCTGAGCCCACAAATGCTGCAGCCTCCTTAAAACCTCTGTCTGCATTTGCGCTTGTGCGTTTTTGTGAGCATGACAATGTTAAAAAATGACTGTGCACAAATTGTTGATGACTGTACTTGCAAACAAATCACACGCATTTTCCCCAAAGGCCTGACAGCACCGCTCCACTCAGTGGGAAGCGCCCTCAGCACTTCCTGACCATGTGACTTCCCTCCAGCTGCCTTTTGATTGGACACTCATAGGCGGAGAGGATGAAGAGGAGTGAGGAGGAGGCGGGGGCGGAGGGTGGCGGGGAGCTAGCTGGCAGCGGATGCATGAGAGAAAACAAATTCCTGCCACATCGCCATGGAGATGAGTCAACAGCAGGTCGGGGGCCGGGGGGACATGGGGCACAGGGTGACCTGCTGTAGTTAACAATTCATCCCCGTATCCGGCTCCCAAATGATTGGGCAAACACGGAGTGCTGCGGAGTCAAAAGGCCTCCAAGGGTCTGAGAGAGGGGCATCACCCTGGGGTGACACGCTGACAGGCACACACTGGTTGGTAGAGGGTGGACCAGCTAGGGAAGGGATATGGGGCACTAGAGGGGAGGGCAGATTGGGAGTGGGGGGATGATTAGATGTGGGAGAGTGGCTCAGTACACTGAGTACCGCAGGCTCCAGCACAGTCACAACACATTATTGATGGCTGTGGTTTTGTAAAAGCAGTGTAATTAAATGATTTGTGTTAAGATGCCAATTTGAGGATGGGAACATTCTGTTAAGTACCCCACAACAAACACCACCCTGTTAATTCTGTTTAAATTCTTCATGTTAAGCTTAATACTTAACAACATTTGGTGGCTCGCCGTGCCAACAGTAAAATAGCAGTTGCATCAGTTTTATAAGCTTAAACCACAGTAACACTATGATTGTCTGGCATGTATCCACTCTGTTAGATAGAAGGCTAACCCAGAGATTGGCAGGAAAACACAACAGGCAAATCTTAATATTTTTCAGTGTCTGTATATACTCACCAGAAGATTCCCGGGAAGCAATTAAAGGTTCACTTCTTATTCCATGATTTGGATTCCTTCATTCTGAAAAAAAAGGAGAGAAGAAAAATCAAAGGAAGACAAACGTCACATCACACACTCATTATATCGTGTTCCATGGCTATATCTGGTTAACTCTTCACTCTCCGTTTGCACAGCTGGGTTCATTTAGGTGTTGGGGCATGTAATATGAGGTACAAATGGAAAAATGTTGAAAGCCTCAACCCACAGGACCTGGATCAAAAAACACTGACCACTTTACAGCGGAGCAGAGCGCCGTTTGACAATAATGGGTCAGAGACCGAAAAAACAGGCGGGCGACGGGTGGATCTCATCAATGTCACTTCGTACAGAAGAAGAACCACAAGGCCTCAACGCTGCACTTAGGTTAGGCCAGACTTTATGCAGTGTTAGGTTTTGTCTCAGTCAGCACAAGCTGTCGTGCAACTTTATGCACCGTCACGGCTTGGTCTTCTCCCCCAGGAAAGCAAACCAAATCCCATTATCTAATTGGCCATCTAACTTTGAAAGGTTGAAATGCCACCATCACAACAGACCTTTTACTAGGCAGCTGTGTGAGGAGGGTGTGTGAGCAGAGAGGACCCGTTACTGGTTCCTCACAGCTACTCACGTCAGAGCAGTGTTTTCACCAACACCGCTGAAGCATGTTCTCCCTTCAGAGGGAATAAGGATACCGTCTACACTCAATCTTCAGTCATCTCACCGACAAATCTTACAAATGAAAAACAGGACTGCATCTTTTATTGTGCATCTGTTGGAAGACGAGAACTAAAAACAAGGGAAAAAGCGCGATTATGATAAAAATACCAGATGTTGAGACATTTCTCGAAAGGTGTGTCATTCAGGGAGCTTGGGACGAACCTCTGGCCGCAGCCGAGCTCTAAATTTAGCATATTTACTAAAATAAAAAATGAGTTCAGTCCCTGGCACGGAAAACGTTCTCCTCCCCATTCATGATCTCAGCGGTGCCGCCAGCGTCACTCATGACGAAAAGCTGACCATATAAAACAACAAAAAAAGACCTCCTCAAATACTCAGAGTACATAAGGAAGCAACCACAGCTTAATGTTCCCTGTAAATGATCCTATTACTGCAACAGAAAAAAAGATGGTTCTGACTTTTCTATTTTTAGAGCAGCATTTGAGCATAAATTACCTTTTACATAACAACCTCAGACAGAACACAGAGTCTTATAAAGAAGTGGAATTAATGGCCAAGAAGCCTTTCACATGGCTTTGTACTCATGTACTGTGTGTACACAAAGGGAATGAAGGATGTATGACACACGTAGAAAGCTACTGTGTTTGTTGACTGTATCTGTACATGCCGGGGATCAGCCTGTGTGTGGCAGTCTAGAGAGGATGCCCCTGGGCCAGGCTGAAGAGTAAGTGAAGCAGAGGTCCCATCTAAGCTCTAAAGCATGCGAGTATCGGGCCTGTAACTAAAACACAAGCATAAACACAGGCAACGTTAGGGATTACACCCTGCAATACCGCCGCAGGAAACCACAGACAGCACAGGTGTAACCATGACACGGCGACGGACACATTCCTCCCCATCTCCATTCTGCCCGTGGAGGTCTGACTGACAACTCATCATCTGCTCTTTTTGGCTGTGTGAAACTTGTATAAACATCTGCAGGCATTTGTATGTGTGTGTATATGTGTGTGTAGGAGCCACAGGTGAGGGACACACACACACACACACACACACACACACCCACACAAACACAGAGGGGAATACATTGGCCTAATGTCAAAGAAAAGAAGCCTTGCAGCACAATACCACAACATCTGTCAGAGAATGAAAATCTTTCCTTTGAGAAATTGCAATCTTATATCTAACTCATGATAAGCAAAGAGCTGCACAAAACGACTTAGATTTTGTTTACACCGTCAAGATGTTTTTAAAGCTAAAGTTTGTTAGAGAGAAAAAGAAAAGTAGCAAAGAGGAAGCGAGTCATCATCCAGCACGTTTCCTCAGTGAACAGCACCCCCTAGAGCAACTCGCCAGGTCAGACCTGCACTCCTCACTCTCACTGCTGTTGATGGTCTCAACATAAACTGCAGAAAAAAATATACTCGTCAGAATCAATTACGACTCGTCAATTCAAAATGAGAAAATCTGACAAGCACACATGCCGTATGATCATTCATATTTATTTGCAAAGATACAAATATCCGGGTTGTGTCATCGTCTGGCTCATATGTGAGCCACAATACACAGAGGTGAGGCTGGACCACTCATTATGCCAGTGTGAGTTGATAATGAGGTAGGCTGTTATTAAGATGTTTGCTTTAATCGTGTGCAGGGTTATTAGGGGGCAGTTTACAGTACACACGAGAGATTAAGGCAGGCCATGCATGACAGAAAGAGCTGAGGAGGCCAGTGATAGGCCAGCTACCCACAACTGTGAAGCAGGCTGAGAAATACGAGCGCACAGTAGGACATGAAACTCGGCAAGACAAACCTTTACCTCTCTCTCTCTCTTTTTTCCCTTTCTCTTCCTTCTCGTCTCACTCTCGCCCCGTGTTCGCCTCAAATCATGTTACACAACCACAAAGAAAAGCCTTGTACATCGGAGACTTACTTAAAACAAGCGGAGAAGAAAAGAACAGTAAAGAGAGGATCACAGAGGGATCTACACAAGCAGGAGGTGTTTGGTTCCTTTATATTTGTATAAAAGGACAACATGGCGGGGAGCCTGGCACTACTGTAAAGACGCACAAGTCCAGACACTTACACCCCTAACTACTTCACACATGCTTACATAAACTAAATCAGCCCGAGAGACGCGGCTCCGTGCACCAACCAGGGAGCACTACACGTTTCCTCTATATTTTTCCATGCCATTAATAAAACTAGACATTGTACTGTTTCAATATGTTTTGTTGGAATTCAGGGAGCACTTGAAAATCCATCATTTTATGAGCTTTCAAACTTTCCCACAGAATTCCCACCATTTTTTTCCCATAGATTTAACCCAAAGTAGCACTGAATTAGGGCGGCCACACGCAGCTCGAAATGCTGCTCTCATTCTACTCAAACATGACATATCACCCAAAACCTGTTGCCTTAAGAAAAGCTATTTTCTGACATGAAGACAATTATAATTTTTAATTTTTTGAGAAACCACAAAGGCTGCCAACTAAGAGTTAACCTGGGCTGGACTGTGTCTGTAACATCAGCTGAATGTAAATGCTCACAGTATTTACAATCTAAAGCACTTTGATATGAAACAAAAGCTTGGATTTGGTTTGCGTCAACATCATCTGTGCCTTTGTCGCTTCATTCATTCACATAAACCACAAAAATCAGAGATTAAAATGAACTTTTCACACATCCTCTTGCGCTGCATGGTGAGTAAAAGGTGAGTGTGTGTGTTTGTCTGTGTGTATCAAGTTAGCAGAAGGTCAGAATGGTGAAGTATTAGAGCACTGTTTACTCTCTTCCATGTACTCTCGGGGACAAGCCTGTTTGAGAGTTTGAACAGTGACGTGTGAAACCCGTGAAAACAGGACATAGCGCTGCTCTGTTTGCTCAAGAACACCTAAAGAATGAACTGCCATTACAAAACAAATCCCTCAGCCTGCATTCCTCCTGTCCATCAAACCCTACCTGTTCAACAACATATGACACAGGCTGGAAAAAGGTAGCTACTTCATGGGGGGGGTGACTTGCAATTTGTTAAAATGCTGTCAGCTCTCTGACCTTCATGTCTGACCTGCAGAGAAGAAAAACACATCCGCAAGTTTGGAGGAGCAAGAATTCTCCTTCCTTTTGCCAGGATGTAATACAGAGACAAGCAACACAACGTCTCCTCTGCATCTTCTTTATTAAATCCAAATTCAGTGAAACTTGAACTTTTTATGGAGTTTGTTATATAATTCATAATGGCAAAAAAACAAATCGATGGGCAACTATATTTTGGAGGGCATTTTCACCTGTATTGCAGGACAGTAATTGTGAAATGGGGAGAGAGAGAATGGGGGAGACATGCAGCATAAGGTAAGGTCGGAATCAAACCTGCAGCTGCTGCATTACGACTAAAGCCTCTTTGAGTGTGATGCCCATGCTACCAAGTGATCATCAGCAACTATCTTGATAACAAATGAATCCTTAAATCATGCCAAATGAATCTGTTAATTCTACAAACCTTCATGTCTTCTGTAAAAACAGTTTTACTTTGTTGAAAGTCACCTGAGCTGTGAAAAACTGGGGAAATTGGTCTGAATTTTCTGGTATTTTTCTGGACATGTCACTCAGAAGAAACAAAACCAATTGATCCTAAAATGAATCATTAATTGCAGCTCTAGCAATTTATACTCTTGATGGTCACAATGCCTCAGAGTGACATGACGGATTATTTCCCCTATAAATTGTATCTTACATTTTGAAACACCAAAGGCAACAGACAGTTTGATAACAGCCTTTTTTCCGCCTTCTGTCCAGCATCTGTTATAAGAAACATTTTAATGATGTTTTCGGCAGCGATGCTGGACGTGCTCTTATGTAACAAGTGATTAAACCCACAAAAACAAACTGATGGACCCGCTAGTAAAGTCGAGGTGACACCGGGTGGAAATCCATCAACTGGAGAGAGGGGCACCTTCCCTCCCCTCCCCATCATCATCCGTGTATCAGAGGAGCCACTGGGAGAACTGGATGTGATTTGTATGTGTGTTTTTGAAGAGGGGTGCTCATAAACAGCCATGAAAGGGGCCCCTCTATTCAGCCCGCCAGCTGAGATGCGCTTCACTGGGCCGGCCTTTTGTTTTCCCCTCTTCACAAAAACGTAAGCGTAGAAAAAAGGGGTTGATTCCCTCGATGTGTGCAGGCCCAAATGATGCCATTAGATTGGTGCCCGCTTTGGGTGAAAAAGGCTTCAGCAGTGCTTGAAGTGATTTAAAAGATGCAGGAGAGGGCTGCCCGCAAATCCTGTTTGAGAATAACACTGGGGGAGAATAGGGAGGCGAAATGCCAGGCTAGTGATTATTCTATAGTATGCAAAATTGCTCTCAACT